TGTAAGGACATTGTGTTTTTGCTTATATATATAAAAAAGAGTATTTTTTTATAATGGTGGCTTGTTTGGGAATTGTTTGTATGTGCATGAAAATACAATCCAGAATATTGTACAAGATGCCTATCTATCTCAAAACAATTAGATTTTTAAAATTAAAATAGAATAAAATTAACAAAGTCTTTTGCATTATTTTACATGTGATGATGCCTTGAACATCAGATAAAATGCAGTTTCCTGGAATCAGCTAATCAGCAGGATTTGACAGATCATATATTTCATGGATTTTGTTCCAGTGTCTAGGATGAAGATTTCTATTTCAAGTGTTTTCCAAAATGTGGAGCAAAGTTGGGGCATAGTTGGCTCCTTATCTGAGCCTGAAAAAAAATATATTCTGGAGCAAAAGTTGCAACAATCAATTATTTTGCAGGGATGATGTAAGCAGTGATTTCTAATTAGTGTGGTTTGGTGTATGCAGGGCCGGATTTTCCTATAGGCTAACTAGGCTTCAGCCTAGGGCCTCAAGATTAAGAGGGGCCTCAAGATCAAGAGGGGCCTACATTCAAATTATTAGCAAAATTAAAATTACACTTTCACTATAGGTGAAAGGGCCTCATAAGTGGAATAGCCTAGGGCCTCTTTTCATCTAAATCCGGCCCTGGGTGTATGCTGTCTAGATTTTTTTTTTAAAAAAAGGAATCATTGCTTTTAAAATAATAACAAAAAAGAAAAGGAAAAAGAAGAAAACAGAAATAATTGTGATAGAAATATATTGTCAGAGAAAATAAAAAACATAGAAAGACTGAATAAAATATAGATAACTTTTTTAAAAAGAAAAATCACTTTCCCTTTCCTTTCCTTCTCTGACAAGATATTCTTTAAAACTGTTATTCTCAGAGCAGCCCAGGAAATTGTCAGGATTGTAATAGAAACAAATGTGATTTAGGTTGCATTAAAAGAAGCACTATCCTCAGGTTCCAGAGAATAATTGTGTTGTATTGGAAAAAGGTCTCCAGTTCTGCATGTTGTATTTTTAAAAGGATGCTATCAACTACAGCATATTAAGAAACGGTAAACTGAAACAATGAGATGCAGGGGGATTTTAATGACATAAATAATTGTTGCTTCATATGAAGGCCCAGCCTTACCATGGAGATTTCTTCACTGTGGCTCCACATGGCATTCCAGACATTTTGGGAAACTGTTTGGCAAAATATTAAGTTCTAAATGGTACAAAGGTTCAACAATGAGGTCAACAGGTAGTGGTGAAGCTCTGAGGATTTCACCTGGAGCATGAGGCTGGATTGAGTGATATTCTATGATCCCCTAACATTATCAAGGACCACAGCAAAATCAAAGAGAGTAATTTATTTATTAAATGTATATGCTGCCCATCTCACTATCGGGCAGCTTACAACATCAGTTAATTGTACAAATCAATCAAGATCTTATTTAAATCTATGCTTCTGTTTGATTTGAATTGCCAGTTTGATTTACATTTATAACTCAATTCAAATAGCTGAGTTTAGTCAACTTTAACCAATGTCTTATGTATAAGGATATTTACCCATGTAGTATGGCTGTATTACTATTATCCTTCTCATATTTTCTACTACCTTCTCCTATTGGTTTCTTATGATTATATGACCTTGTTCTATGCATGTATACTTGTTTGTATGTATATGTTGCTCTTATGTTTGTGTGTACGTTGATTATATTACCTTGTTGTTTGTATGTACACTGGAAGCTTATGCACCGAAGACAACCTTGTATGTCCAATCACACTTAGCCAATAAAACTATTCTATTCTATTCTATTCCATTCCCTTCCATTCCATTCTTCATTATTGATTTGACTAATCAAATAAAATGTAAACAAATCATCTTTAAATTAAATTATCAAATTGGTTTAAAATGTAAAATTCGATTATCGATAGTTTTTATCAATAAAATAAAATAGGCTGATGCACTTCTAACATCTTTGTTCATGTTCAGGAGCATTACTACTTTCTGTTGAAATTCTTTCAAGGGAAAAATAAGTTCTTTTTCCACAATTGCTTTTTGACAACTGCAGTGTATAACCCCAGAATCACACCTCTGGGATACGAAGTTGAAATGTGGCTTTATATGCCAATCCTCCCATGTACCCATCCTTCTTTGCTCTATGATTTTTTTAAAAAAAAATGGAATGAAACTCAAAAGACAAGTGAAATCAAATCAAGTTAATGGATCAACCACTAAGTGAATTCTCCTTAGAATGCTCAACAGACAAGACATTTGCAAAAATTGATATTTCTATGGTTTGGATATCAATGCAGATTTTTTTTTGGTTTTTTTTTTTTTTTTTTTTTGCTCAATTATAGTAAGGGAAATGCATGTAAATGACAGCTTTCTCCCTGGGGATAATTCTGAAACTTAGCTGAATTCCTGGGGGGTGGAGGGAAATGGACATTCTAGAAGTTGTCTCCTCTAAGAGCAGAAGCTATTTAATTCAATCCAATAAACAGTTACAAATCTAAAGAAAGAGACAAAGGAAAGTTTACTAAAATTTATAGTAATTTACTTTGATGAAAATATTTCTATGCCTAAATTATAAATTTTAGGGCGCCATCAAATAAATTATATTATTTTTTTCCTCTAAACACTACAGGTCTAAAAAAAAAATAAAAGAAAATAAAAGAAACCCCACCATGTGATAATCATCTTGGCAATGTTTGCACAGCCCATTGAAATTTAAACCTATGGAGTGCAAATCCATCTTGGGTTATTAATTTAGCTTTCATTACCTTGTACAATTAAATAAAATGGGTTAAATCCAGTGCAGCCAAGATTAGGTAGACATTCATAAGCATATTGTGGCAATTCTCTGTATCATCATGCATTGTTGTCACAAGAAATAGAGAAAGGGAAAAGAAAATGCTATGTACAGTCTTGAGCACATTCGCCAAATGGTAGAATACTGGTACATTAGTGCTGTACAAAAGGATTCTTCATTCACTTCAAGGGAGATGGCAGCTCTCTGCCTGCAATGTCACTCTCCTGCTTGAAACAAATCGACAAAAAAAAACAACAACGAGTAAGTGGGAAAGTCTACGCCGTATTACAAGCTGTGAAGTGATCATCACTTCAACCAAACATCAGGGCCAACTTGAGAATTTTCCTATAAATCCAGTTTAAATATCAATAAATGCTCTGAATATATTTGATCTTTAAAACAGTCAGGAAAGCACTTTTGAAAACTGCTACGTTTGTATTACACGTCGTGTATCATCTAATATATTTGATGGTAACTTCTAGGTTAAATTTCATCCTATCCTGAACATTTTCTTCAACAGTGAGTCAACAAGATCCAAGATGTTCCTTGTGAGAATAGAATCGCTTTTACCTTTGGAATTTAACTTTTGGGTAGATACTTTTGTCCTTTCTAGATGCAACCCAACGTACTCTTCTAGGGACTAAGGTAGTCTGATATTTGTTGATCATTGTTGGTCAGCACTTCACGATCAAGATTTCTTAGTTGCGAACTCATTCGTTCCGGAAGAATTTTAAAGACACCAATAGAAGTAGCTGCAATTATTCTGAGATGTATTATACAGCTGTAAGATATATTATTCAACTATCACAACACAGTAGCAAGGCTGAAATGTAATTACTTTGAAAAACCATTTTGGTTCAAAAATGATCACAGGAGACATACTAAATGGCATGTGTGAGTATAAATATAATGGCATTTATCATCAAATAGATGATACACGTATAATACAAACATAATAGCTTTTAGAAATCTTAATTGTTTTAAAGATCAAATATATTCGGAGTATTTACTGATATTGAGACGGGATTCATAGAAAAATTCTTAAGTTCGTCCTGATGTTTAGTTGAAGCAATGATCACTTCCCAGGATATAATACAGCATGAAGCTATGCTGCATAATGACACAATTTCTACATATGTCTACATAGAAGTAAATCTTATTTGGTTTCTAAGATTAGATTTTAAACTTTTTCTAATGGGAATCTAAATAATCTGGAGAGTGAGTTTGGTCTAATGATTAAGGTGCTGATCTAAGAGTAGCGAAACTTGAATTCTGGTTCTGCTTTCTGCACAAAAGCCAGCTGGGTGACCTTGGACTTGGACTCTTCCTCTGAGACCGAGGAAGAAGGCAATGGCAAATAATTGCCAGGAGTCAAGTTTGACTTGAAGGGAAGGAAAAGGAAGAGGAGGGGAGGGAGGGAAGAAGCATAAGCATGTTAAAAATCAGAGCCATGAAGTCTTTGCAAAAGAGAATTTCATCATGATTCGGACTGAAATCTTAAAATATTTGCTAGGGACTAAAATCTATTAGGATAAGTAGTATGGTCAATAGGACCATGCTATTGAGTAGCTGATTTTTTTTATTGTTTTTTTTTTTTTTTTTTTTTTTTAGCAAAACAGTTGCATTTAGTTTCCAAATTGAGCATTCTATTAAGGCTCCAATCAAAGCATATTTCCTAGAAGTAAGTCTGTTCAAAATTTTTGCATTTTACAAAGCCCAAGAAAATACGAATAGGTATTGCATTTCAGGCCCACCAACATATTCAGTTAAACTGAATCTGAACAAAGTAAGGCAAAGAGAATGTATCTGAGCAATTGGCCAGCTTTAAAAATAAGAAATTCATTTCCAGGGATTTTTCACAAACCTCAAAATCCCAGCTCAAAGTCCGAGATAAAGTTAATGATGTTTGGGGGAGGAAGAAGGTTGCTGCTGTTTCAGTTCCAATCTCGTATCAGAAGCCTCCAAAAGTTTACAACAACTTGCAGGAAAATGTCCATCTCAAAACTCTGCTGGCAGACACACACACACTCACACATGCTCACACAAATAAGCAGACAGAGCAAGTTTAACTTCAGATTCCTGCTCCTGTGAAAGCCTCTTGTTTGCTTTCATATTTGAAAGCCAGGAAGAGTTGTGAAAAGTTCCCTTCAAAATAACTTCGCATCCAGAGGAACGAGAACGCCACTTACCTAAAGATAGGTCTCTGAAGATGCTTTTTCCTAATTGTAACACAATCATCCATTTAAGTGTGGGGGAGGAACAGCCACTTCCTGAAAAGAGTTCCCGGGAGAACCTGGGAGCAATCGGGAAACTTGTTCTTAGCTACTGTGCTGAAGAGACCACACCAAGGTTTTTTTCTGGTGCTGGGGAAAACCTCCCTCCGTGTGACAGTCCCGTAAAATGAGGCCATAGAGACCACATAGAGTCTGAGCAGCACCAAAACATGCAGGCTGTTACACAGAGACCGAAGACAAGTTGAGCAAAGCAGAGTCTCCTGGAAGGGTTTCAGCTGCCTGAAGAAAAGGAAGAACTTTTACCAACTCTTAACCAAAGTTTAAAAGAAAAAGAAGAAAAAAAACCTGTACTAGATTATTCCAGGCATGAGAATTCTTCTAAAAAAAACACACACACACTGGTCAAAGTCTTCAACTTGAAGGCTGCCTTGCTTTGTGAAACAAGACCAGTCCATTGGGAGGCTTCCCTTTTTCTTTCTTTCCCTTTTTTTAAAAAAAAAATCCTCCCCTTTCTTCAAAATAAAAGTTGTCCAGCTGTTTCAGAGCAAACCCCTGCAAGTGTTTTCTAAATGTTTCTGTGCTGTTGTAAGAACTGTATACAAATTAACAGAGACGGATGGCTCTGATCTCCATTCCTGGCTTCACTTCAAGACATTGCTGCAATTATTTTACAGTCTGGCTATTATTCACTTTGGCTGATGGGTGACTATAACTATGCACATTAAATCACCACTCATAATTTTTGGCACCCACACAACCTCAGAGCCCACAGTCGGCCGAAGCACAGCCTGATGTTTGCAACTGGTGGGATCTTAACTACACGGCAAGGAGCCATTATCCTTGAGTTAGAAACATAAAAATGGAGAGGGCTTCTTTATTGGCAAAGTCTGATGTTTCGTTTCATTCTGGCCATGTGGCAAAACATAGTTCATTTATTTATTTGTTTGTTCAGATGATTTAAACAGCCACCCTTCCTAAGCCACTCTGGGCAGCTTACAACAACAACATAACCAATGTCTATAAAGCAATTGTTAAAAAGAGGAAAATAAATAAATAAAAGAAAGCAAAACAAAAACAAAAACCCTGAGCCTTAATCATCCCCTCACAGCAAATCCAGTTTCCCTCATTCCATACTATGGATCTCTGTACTACACTATCGCAGAACCTTGGTAAAAAGCCAGGTCTTGATGGCTTTCCTAAAAAATTAAAAGGCTGGGGCTCTGCTAAGACTGCTAACAATTATTTCAGAATATTCGACTTTCTAAGGCAGGGTTGACAAAGGAGTTACAGTTCTTCAAATACAGGCATTCTTCAGTTGAAAAAAGCAACTTTGCAACCAATCTTTGCATTTGCAGTCTGTTATAAAGCAAAAGCACCTGAGGTAAGCTGAGAGAAGAGTGTGTGCACATAGTTTCACTTAGCAACTGCATCACTTAATGACCGAGTTGCCAGTCCCAAGCAGAGATGGGTTTCAGCAGGTTCTGACCAGTTCTGGAGAACCGGTAGCAGATATTTTGAGTAATTCGGAGAACCGGTAGTAAAAATTCTGACTGGCCCCGCCCCCATCTATTCTCTGCCTCCCAAATCCCAGCTGATTGGGAGGAAATGGAGATTTTGCAATAATCTTCCCCTGGATTGGGGAGAGAATGGAGATTTTACAGTATCCTTCCCCTGCCACGCCCACCAAGCCACACCACGCCCACCAAGCCCGAACACAGTACCACAGAACTGGTAGTAAAAAATTTTGAAGCCCACCACTGGTCCCAAGTGTGATTGCCAATTGAGGACTTCCTATGTGGAAGAATTGTAATTCCACAATACTTCCCATCACTGGTTTCACAGTCCTATAGAAATGAAGGGGATCCATACTCTTGGGACTGGGTTTAGTAGAGGCAGCGGCTAAGCAATCTTTAGCAGCTACAGCCATATAAAGAAAATTCGCATATCATAGAGAAGAGCTTCATATACCTCTTGCCCTGATCCTGCCAGCTTACTTTTTCTGCATGTATCTCTGTAGGGGGATAAACAAGTATAAACCACCACCTTGTCATGTTGTACAACGGGTAGACTTTTTGTTCCCAGGCTCCAATCCTATGAATTGGGGGATGGGACTGCACAAAGAGGAGAAGAGGCGTTGTGCATGTTTGGTACAAATTTTTTAAAATATATTTATTTAAAACAAAATTAGCCCACATTAAGTGGGGTGCCTGATGTTATTTTGGCCATGTTTCAGCCTCTCTCCCAGAGAATAACCCCAAAGGAAGAAGAAAGTCTTACATTATTTATCTTAAACATCAGTGAAACTTGATTGCAACGCAACCCAACGGGATTGGAAAGTTTTCCTTAAAAATAGCATTGTGGTCTCCCTAATGAACCTTGATATTTATGATAGGTGACCTGTTAAACGAACCCAGCAAATATATCCCTGAGATACAGTAAACAACAGCTGAAAAACCTGAACACGTAGCAAGTCACACTTTGATTGTGGAAGGGTAATTTAATACTTCCCCTATGTAGGACTCTGAAAGTTCACGACTTCTGCCATGACTCCTGGGGCAATGAGAAACAGCTTTTCTTAAAGGAGGCTGTAAGTTGCCCTGAAATCATCTTTGGGAAACATTTTAATAGCCATCCGTAGCAAACACCCACACTCCATTTCTCACGCTGCTACACTTAGTGAAGTGAGGGAAGTTGAAGGCAAAAAGAATTTAAAAAAAAAATTATGGTGTCTATACTTCAGAATAGCCTCCTACTGGAAGCTAGGTTGGCCGTCTCAGTGATGTCTTCTAGAAACTGTGAAAAGTGAACAATTCTAAAGATAGTGCACCATCTGGACAGCCTATCTGCCTCTCTATCTGCCTATCTATCTATGTATCTGCCTATCTATCTATCTATCTATCTATCTATCTATCTATCTATCTATCTATCTATCTATCATTTTCAAACTTATATGGCCACCCATCTCACAAGAAGTCTCTTACTGTATATATATGATGCAGTGGTTAAGGTACCTGGCTAGATGCTGGGAGACCTGGAGTTTTTGTCCCACTTTAGGCATGAAGCCAACCGGATGGCCTTGAGCTCTCTCAGCCCTAGGAAGTAGGCAAGAGCAAATTATCTCTGAAATCTTACCAGAAAAACTGCAGAAGCTTGTCTGGGCAGTTGGCAGGAGTCAACATTGATTCAAAATTCTAAGTTCTAAATTCTAAGTTCTCAAATTCTAATTTGGTAGCATCAGTGGTGGAATTCAATTTTTTTAACTACCGGTTCTGTGGGCCTGGTGTGGCTTGGTGGGCGTGGCTTGGTGGGCATGCCAGGGGAAGGATACTGCAAAATCCCTATTCCCAACCCACTCCAGGGGAAGGATACTGCAAAATTCCCATTCCCTCCCCACTCCTGGGGGAAGGATATTGCAAAATCTCCATTCCCACCCCACTCTGGGGCCAGCCAGAGGTGGTATTTACCGGTTCTTTGAACTCAAAATTTCCGCTACCAGTTCTCCAGAACCTGTCAGAACCTGCTGAATAGCACCCCTGGGTAGCATCAACATTATCATAAATAATAAAAATTTGGGTATCCTGGTTCTGATGGGCTTTTGAAGAAGATAACCTTTACAACCTGAATTTAGGATGGAAAGGCTCATTTTAGAGCCATTGGTTTAGCCATTCAATTGACCTCCTGTTTAGGTTTGTCAGATCATCTGAGGAGCAGTCATGAAGAAACCTCATTCCTTCTCCTTGTTCTGAAACTTTATCCAGATCTCTCCCCATAACCTCCTCTCATTGTGGCGGTAGACAGAAGATAATCCCCAGAAGTGTAACAACTGCTTCTTATGGATTATGCCAAACAATCTCACACTCTATGGTATCTTTGCCTGGTCTTCAGCAGATAGAGCACTGAAACTATTTTACAAGAGCTGTTTTTGGCGTATATATAGTTGAGTGCCAGCAAGCTGAGAATGACTTCTAAATCAATGATACTGATTACCTTCAAAGCCTTTAATTACTACAGATTCCAATTTGTGGAGAAGCATCTCTTCCAACATCAGTCTATATTTTGTGATTGTTGTGGTCCGCCAGCAACCTGCGGAGCTGGCAGCAGAGTCGGACAGTGAGGAGGCTGGGGAGGAACAAGGGCCAGTCCTGGAGTCTGGGGAAGGCTCGGACGAGGGCTCTGCGTCGGAGGCAGAGAAAGGGCCATCTGGGAAATATGTGCTGCCTCTGGAGCCTCCAGAGTCAGACCTCAGCAAAGCAGAAGAACAGGGGGAGCCTGTTCCCAGTGCGTGCATGCGCAGAGCTGCCAGAAGGCAAGAACAGTTAAAACAAAAGGGACAATTTGGGAGTAGGGCTTGGAGATGATTGGCCCCTCCCATAAGACTTAAAAGAGGAGCAAAGGCATGTGGGCCTTTGCAGGAAGCAACGTTGTTAATTCTGTGCGGTTTAAAGTCTGAAGCTCTGTTTGATTCTGGATTCTGTGTGGCTTTGCCAATTAGGTCTTTGGCAGCGTGACAAGGGAGATAAAGGTGGGTGATTATCAGCCTTATCCCGAAGGACTCTTTACAACTATTTGGGACTCATCTGTGAATGAACAGAATTCACAGCTGTTAAAAATAAAACAAGTTTTTGGGACTACTTGTGTGTTTTACTGACTCAGGAAGCCTAGGTCAGAACAGTAATCTTTGCTGAAGCTCTTCTCCAAATGCCTTTCTTACAAGTAATATGATATAATAGTAGGGGACCTTGTTGGTGATAACTGCCTCCCCTACTAAAGAGTTACACACCATATTTACTTTGCTACCAAGTTATAGGTAGAACTTGAGAAATGTCTTGTTATTGTTACAGCATCTTATGAAGCTTGACTGATTTCAGAGGCGAGACTCAGTTAATATTTGGAAGGAAAGCAGTACAACTATAAATTGGGAAGAAAACAAGAATACAACATGGATATGTCCATTAGGACAGCAGTCCCTAACCTTTCTGACTCTGTGGACTGCTGCCGGCAGCAGTGGTGGGCAGAGGGGATGGTGTGTGCCCACCGCTTGCACAAATGGAGCTCCATGCACTCCTATGCTCGTCTGCTATTTGTGCGGCCCGGTTCCCAATGGGCCATGGACCAGTACTGGGCAGAAGACTGGGGGTTGGAGACCCTGCATTAGGACATTAAAAGTTGACCCTGACTCAAAGAAGACTCCATCTGTTACTTTTTTTAATGTTAATATTAGACTCCATCTTTTACTTTTTTAGTGTTAATATTATGATTTTACCATAAATGTCTACAGGTAGTCCTTGACTTATGACCACAATTGAGCCCAAAATTTAGGTTGTTAAGTAAGACATTTGTTAAGTGAGTTTTGCCTTATTTTATGACTTTTCTTGCCACAGTTGTCAGTTGTTAAGTGAATCACTGCAATAGATAAGTTAGTAACCTGGTTGTTAAGTGAATCTGGCTTCCTCGTTGACTTTGTTTGTCAGAAGGTCACAAAAGATGATCACATGACC